ATGTTGACCGATTTATCCTGGCTGCGGTCGAAGCCAGTATCAATTAGACAGAGACACACATTTATATGTATATACATATCTATCTATCTATCTATCTATCTATCTATCTATCTATCTATCTCTATATATATATATGTATTTATATATCACACATATATATATGTAAGATATTATATATGTATAATATACATATTTTAACGAACGTGTATAGGTATAAGCTGAGAAATATATATTTATACATGTATATATATATACATTTTATATATATATATATATATATATATATATATATATATATATATATATATATATCTTTTCTCTCTCTCTTATTCTCTTTAAATATATATATATATATTTTTCTCTCTCACATTCTATCTAAATATATATAATAGATATATATATTTGGTTGGATAGATGTGAGTTTGTGACCCTGGGTTTCACGTTGCCTGACGATCGCAAAAGCCTGAAACCCAGGGTCACAAACTCACATCAATCCAACTGAATATGTTAGCTCTATCTCTGATATTGAGCGCTTTCTAATAAGTATATAATATAATATATAAATATATATATATATATATATATATATATATATATATATATATATATATATATTTCACACACAAACACACACACACACATATATATATTCTGTTTATATGCTTGAAGATATAATTTATTTAAGTAAATGCTCAGTTTTTAATAAAGCAGTATTAATTGCATTTAACCCTCTGAATTTTCGAAAAAATTTGTTTCGTGGCATATCGACAATTCTACGCTTTGTTTAATGCCGAAATTGAAATAATTTTACATAATTTTATACGTTCAGGGTAAAGGTGTGTTTTGTAGTTTGTAGATCATAAAATTTATTGTTGATAGATTTTAGCGTTGTCATTTTGCTATAAAAATGAATTGTTGGCTTGTTTATTTTTTTTGCTGGGGTGGGGGTGGAGTCACGATTTACCCATAGCTGGGAGACTAAGAGGTGCTGCCTCTCCGGCTCATGTTGGAGCTGGAAACTATAGCAGCTAAGATGTAGTCCCACGATCCTTAACCTCCAATGAGAGGCTTTGATTCCGGATACAGTTCATGGCCATAATCGGGACGAGGTTTTATTGGAGAAAACAAACTCAAAATGGAGAAGAACATTATTGACTCGTTGTGGAGGGCCTTGATCTAATGTAATTGTTCTAAGAAATGTATGAATTCATCAGAAATACTTTGCTCCGAAATAAAATATAATTACTGGTAGAGGTGATATGCATGATGCTATTTTTGTGGTATTATGTATTTAAATAGGCATTTAAATGAATATTTTTAAACGAGTATTTTAAATGAGTATTTTTTAAATGAGTATTTTTTAAATGAGTATTTAAATAAGTGTTTAAATGAGTGTTTTAAATGAGTATTTCCTTCCGCCCACGTAAAATATTTATCTTATTTTATTAATATTTTCTTTTTTTCATTCTTTTTCATTTTTATTCCACCTGTTTCTGGTATGCCGTCTACGTTTACTTTTGCATCATTCCTTGTCAGGTAAGTGATATTTACTTACATACACCTATTCACAATCAATATATATATATATATATATATATATATATATATATATATATATATATATATATATAGAAGCAATGAGAACGAAAGTAATATATAAATTCTAACATTCACAGCATTAATCCAAAAGAGGTCTCGATACGGATAGTAGAGCGCTAATTATTTATTATAATTTTGTCACTCAGTCAAAAACAGTTTACTCACTACAAAGATGAAACTTCGTTTCGATGAATTGGTCATATCCAAAACTATATATATATATATATATATATATATATATATAATTGTAGGTTAGATAAATGAAATGGCCACAGATATAAGCAAGCGTGGAGTGTACGGTTGCACTGGTGTGCGTCCGCAGGCAAATAAATAATCGTTAAATTTATGCATGAGACAAACATAATTCTTTATATGTATGTATGTATGTATATATGTATGTATGTATCTATGTATATATGTATGTATGTATGAAGGTGGACATTGAGCTGATGATAGCATTTAGTATGAAACAGACTGCCGCGTCTGGCTGGTCACATCAATGTCCACTTTTATTTTTACATTCGTTCTATCTAATATTGAGCCTTTTAGTTCATAACTGTAGAATATCTTAAAACTATATCACATTATATATATATATATATATATATATATATATATATGCAAGTTTTATTAAATATTACAAACAAGGTGCTTTAATTTTTTTATATAATTTTCCATGTGATTTGATAATTTTTTCTTTTCAGTAGATACAATTATATAAAAATTGTTCAAATGTTATATTTTTCCGAGCGCTTTCGGCTATACATTTAGCCATTTTCAAGGATGAAATATTTCAACTGTTAAATGAGAAATAGTTTCTTGCATGTATGTATTTATACAATGTTTTCATTTTTCAAAACGCGGTCAAGATATTGTGTCCATGTTCATAGTTGATATTATTGTGTGTTGTTCGTTTTTTGTTTTTATTAAAGGCTTCCATTATTTTTAGCCATCTTTTTAAACTGTAGACGATGCTATTATATTTGTGTTATCAACCAGTATGTTACGAATAGGGTCCACTAGGTCTCCATGAGTATTTAAATGAGACCTAATTGAGCTATGGTAAGAAAAATGTGGTGTGTCTTCTTGTCAAACATGTCGTAGTGTGACCTATATAATTGTTTACGAATTTTGATTGATCAGGAATACAGTTCCTTAATGGACATTTATTCCTGCCTAAATTCACAATATATATATATATATATATATATATATATATATATATATATATATATATATATATATATATTCGTGTGTGTGTGTATTTATATATATAGGAGGTAATCCTGAAAAGTAACGGCACTGGTGTCACAAACAATTCATTTCAATTCCAAATAGGAAACTAAATAGTTTCCCTTTCAGAACATGCCCACTCAGGTCTAACGCACTTTTCCTTTTTTCTATGCCACGCTTCCATGCATTGTTGGATGGATTCTTCTTGGATGCCCGTCAACTTCGTCGTTACGGTCCTCCTGATGCCTTCTACGCCTTCAAAACGGGTCCCCTTCATGATCCCCTTCAGCTTGGGGAAAAGAAAGAAGCCACACGGAGTAAGATCGGGTGAATAGAGCGGCTATTCCAGTAGGGCAATGTCCTTGACCGGGAACAGCCGGATGCTGAGGGCGTTGTGGGCAGGTGCACTCTCCTGGCGAATATATACTCCCAAGATATCATGTTGCTTAACGTAATCCGCTTATTCCTCTTTCACCCAATCCCATTATTTTTTCAGATAGACTTCGGATCTCTCTCTCCCTCTCTCCCTATATATATATATATATATATATATATATATATATATATATATAAGTGGTCTGTTTTTATTTAAATTATTTGCTCTGGATTTACATTGAGCTCTCCGGATTTTATTCTCCTTAGGTTTACCCATACGGATTACCTAGTTTTCATAAACTAACTAACTAATTAAACTAATAATAATATATATATCACACACACATCCACATATATATATATGTGGATGTGTGATACTCCTGCTCATGGATATTATCGCATCTGCACGATATATATATATATATATATATATATATATATATATATATATATATATATTATGAAATGGATTAAGTCCGACAATTATTTAATATATTTTATTTATCTGTTGAAAATAATGCCGAAACAGAACACACACACACACACACACACACACACACACACACACACACACACATATATATATATATATATATATATATATATATATATATATATATATCAGGTGTATGTCGGCACCAAGAATTCTTTAAAATATGTTTTGTTAAATAATAATGATAAGTTGTTTTGTTTCTTAATTTTTTTAATTAAATCTTTCAAATTTCCGAATAATTTGTTTGGTTTTATCGTTAAATTTGCCAAAATTCATATTAACTTTTATTTTATATCATTTGTTTTTCCTGAGTGTACTTTCTAATGTTTTGATTGTCTTGTGAGTAGTTACGCAACTGGTTTTGAATTCTGACATTCTCACGTTTGATGGAATCAAGGTAAAGTCGTAGAAACGGTGGAACTGAAATTCTTATTACGGCAAATGTTATTAAGGGCAACAGACATTTTCTGATGATTAATTCTTTGATTGGCTTTTCGAAATTACGAATAATCCTTCTCAGATACGGAGGAAATTCCGTCAGAAATTGTCCAAAGTTCATTTCGGAAGAAAAATGCTCTATGCTTTCAGGATTCTTTAGTAATCATCAGCATAGGTAGAGACAGTATAAGATATTCATAGAACTACTGTGAGGTGCGCAAAGAGTCTTGTAATGTAGGCGAATTATGACGTGCGTGTGTATTATGGTAATTTACTCACGCACGGACTCTCCCAGCTATAAATAGGAGCAGGTATTGCCTTTTGGAGAGGGAAGTTTAATTCTCCATCCCCCACCCTCTTTAGGGCTCAGTGACGTCAGTTCTCAGGTGGATGCGGGGCGCCTTTCGTTTCGCATGTGTGTCTTCGTATTTGTTGTTGTGTCTGAATAAGTGCGTGTCTGTGTGAGTGCTTGGGAGGAATGAATGTTTTTTTTTATATTATTTTAGTCCCGCATTGATTTCGTCCAGTTAACTAATTCTTCTGCCACATTTAATGATTCTGGGTTTTTTTTATTACTAATATTATTTTGTTTAGTTTCTTGTAAATAGATTATAGCCATATTTAAAATACTCATTGGGGCTTGTTTTAAATTGTTTTATTCCCCCCACCCAACAGACAAGAACTGTACATATGGGGACTAGTTAGGATTTTCATAGAGACAATGAGGTATTATGGTGGATGTAGTAAGAAAGGTAAGTAAGAGTGCGTTAATTTGTTTTTAGGAATATTCTTTGTATTTTTGGGTCAGTGTTTGTGGCTAGTTAAGTTTAAAGTTAAGTCATATGAAGAACGTCCTTTTCTCCATCCCCCATTTTGGCCTTGTACCACATTTTGTATCATTATACAAATAAATATAGGGAAGTTTACATGCTACTGAATATATATATATATATATATATATATATATATATATATATATATATATATATTAGTGTCTGTTCATATATATCTATTTATTCTAGAGTCGTTTCATATCTGTCTATGTGTTATGGTAATTTACCCACGCACGCATGGACTCTCCTGGCAATAAATAGGAGCAGGTACTGCCTTTTGGACGCTGAAGTTTCCAGCAGTCAGCTCTGACAGTCGGACCGAACATTCTTGCTGTAACACCCTTGTTTGTTTATGTTTGTATTACTGTTTCTGTTAATATATTTAATTCAATTCCTCTCGTTGTGTCTTTATTTCTGGCCCTAACAAGGCCACAACAGTTTGTGCCTTTATTTATTTTTTATGTGCATTTCAGGATGCGGAATCTTAAATTATAATTGCTTATATTTCTAGATGGTTGTTTTATTGTAATTTTGTTTTGATGAAGGCAGCTGCCAGTGTGGTCAAAATTCAGCCCATTGGTGGTGAGACTTGAGTGACCAGCTCCAGGATGCAGCCTTGGGAGATGCTGCCTAGACTACTGGCTGCCACCTCTTGGCCGTACCGAAAGTAATACAGAGCATTACATTAGGGGTACTGGTTTTTCTATTTGGATTTACTACCATAGCCTTTTCTATGTTTGGAGATGGTCGCAAAGACTATCCAACGGCTGGAGGTGCAAGTTGCACATCACGTGCCTGGCTCTATGCGTAGACATGCTCCAATAGCATCCGGGCACTCTCAATTGCATGAGTCTACTATCAAGGAGCATTTATTAAATACTGCCACTTGGAGGACCAATTATTCAGCAGAGTTCTTCATTGTGCTGCACAGATCTCGTGTTATCTACATGTCTTGGTATTGTTAGGCGAATTCTTGTCTCGTACTGGTTGAACTTTAAAATCTTTTTATGTTTCTCCTTTGCCATTGTACTCTTTTTAGATCTATGACAAAGAGGTTTGTTTCCTTTGAGTAGTTTGATTTTAATTTCGATGGTTTTCCTTCTAACGAACAAAAGGTACCTTGAGATATTTTGTTTTTAATCGTGACGATACTTGTATATCCAACTTTTGATTAATAAAATTTCCCTATTTTACGAATTATATATATATATTTAATTATTTATTTAAAAATATGATTCCATCGCTACATAAGAGTTCTCACGTTTCAAAACAAGAGCCGAAAACGTCAATATAATTATTTGAATTAAAGTACCAATCTCTGTTCCATCTTCAAGCGAAAATTTTGGAATAACTAATTCCTGAAATTTACGCGTTTTATAAGCATATTCATTATTAAAATTAAAATTGCTATGGTAACGGCTAGAGCAATTGTTTAAAAAAAAGGTGTGTAAGGGTTAATAATTTGTATCAATATCTCAGTTACATTCACAGATGTCAAGTCAGGGTAAGGTTGCGGTGTCTAAATTTAAAGCGGAAGATGACATCGTCTAGTCTGGTTAAGTGTCTATGGAGATTTATTTATTTTTTTTTATTTTATTTTCTTTCCTGAAAGCGTTTTGTGTATATAAAACTGTCATAATTCGCTAACATTTGTTTTGTTTTTTGACGACTTCATAAAGTTTTTTTTTGTTGTTGTTGGGCTTTTAAACTTTTTATATAGACTATGGAGTTTAAAATTTGTATTTATTATTTAATTGTTTGTTTGTTTTTTATGCTAATTATTCAATGCGAAAATTTGATGATATCGGCAAAATACTGTTAACTCATGTCTATAGTTTAATAAATTTCCATTTTCCATTATATATATATACATATATATATATATATATATATATATATATATATATATATATATATATATAATAAAAACTGACAGCCAGACGCCAGCACATAAGATTTGATTATAGTGGTTAAGGTTTTGTGCAGAATCAACCACACTTTTTGAAGGGCAGAATACAGACACCTGGTGCACTAAGTGCCACAAGGTCCCCAAACGACCCCCCGCAAGTTTTGAATTCAGAGTTGTTCTTCTCCTAGACCAGTTGCCATCCAAGGCTATAGAACCCAGTCTGTCCTGCTATTTAATAATAGCTTTCTCAAGAGTATTAGCACTTGAATATAATGGATTCGACTGGAATTCGAACTCTTCTAAAATCCAAGCCATCTATCTATCTATCTATCTATCTATCTATCTATCTATCTATCTATCTATCTGTGTATGTATGTATGTATTTATATGTGTGTGGGTGTGTGTATATATATTCGACTCACCCGTCGTATTCGATGTATGAGGGTCAAGCAGCTTAGTTCGTAGGAACCGACAGCCCAGACACCAGCACATTAATTAATGATTTAATTATAGTGGTGAAGGCTTTGTGCAGAACCAACCACACTTTTTGAAGTGCCAAATAAAGAGACCTGGTGCACTATGTACTTCAAGGTCCCCCAAATGACCCTCGTCAGGTTTTGAATTCAGAGTTGTCCTTCTCCTAGACCAGTTGCTATCCAAGGCTATAGAACCCAATCTGCCCAGCTATTTATCCATAGCTGGAGGGAGAAGAGGATTCATAACATCCCCATTGTTATTAGCATGTAAGTGAAAACACGAGAGTTCAGTATCTGGCTACAGCAATGGTGAACAAAAAACTTGGAGAGTTGAGTTAAAGGGAGATAACTGTAACATCTGAAAGAGGCATGGCATGTGAACTAGAATAATCTACCTCGGTGGGTGAAATAAAGGGTCCAGTTTGAAATTCCAATCACCTGAAGAAGGCCAGAGCGTACAACGACTGAAAGGTCGTAAAAATGGCAATAAAGATGAAGATAACAGTTTGAACAATATAAATAATAACATGAGGATATTCTAAAGTTCTATTGGTGATAAGCAAAGCTTTCCTTGAATAACTATAAAGAAAAAAAACATAAGAAAAAACATGAAAATTGTGATTTTTTTAAAATTCTTCTTTCATTAACATTTTCCTTTAAAAAAAAGGAAAAAAAATCTCAAAGGAAAATCATACTTATTATAAAACCCAGGTTGTGTGTGTGTCTGTTCGTTTATATATTTGATCGGATTTCCTACATTTTTCAACCGATTTCAACAAAACTTCACAGGACTACGTAAAATTACCTTGCGATGGTTCTGACAGCGCCAAAAATTGGAAAAACACAATTGTTTTTGCACGAAATGAATTTGAAAACACGATTAAGAGGAATCGCTGTCGCGAGAATGAAAGGGGGATAACTCATATCGAGTTATACTTATTATAAAACCCAGGTTGTTTGTGTGTGTGTGTGTTCGTTTATATATGGGATCGGATTTCCTACATTTTTCAACCGATTTCAACAAAACTTCACATTTTTTTGGCAGGTAGTGTTTCATATTGTCTTGCATACTTTTTTTCTTTATTTTTACATTCAGAATGCTTTAAAAATTCCATTTACAAGACAATTGTTTATAATAAAATTCTATTCCATCGGTAGACTCATAACGATTGAAAACAATGTTTTTGTTTGAGTTCGGGTTTGACCAATACGTAAAAAAAACAAAAAACAAAAAATAAATTAATTAAGACATGCGTGTCCGTCAACCTTAAACAATAATCTTTGTCAATTTTATTTTTCAGTCTTTATGATGGTCGATACTTGATCTATCTCTTACTGTTACATCCCTGGGCAACGCCGGGCTCTACTGCTAGTATATATATATATATATATTAAAGAAAAACAGACCACTTTAAGGTTCCATTATAATAATTTCTTTCACCAGAGCCCTTTTAAAGGACTTTGGATCATCAGATAGATGAGATGAAAACTTAACTTTCTAAATATCAATTTTTATCCCGACGTCGAGGTTTCATAGTAAAATTTACAGGTGGCAGCGATCTTGAACAGTATTTCCTGTTTTTTTCAATTTTTATTCACTTAAGTGAAAAAAAAATTCAAATTGTTTTCTACTTAAGTGAAAAAATAGAAATAATCGCAATGACGTTTCGACACCATAAATGTGTCTCTTCAGGCAATGTTAAGCTACTGGCGAGTGAAAGATTAATTTCATTTCAAAAGCAGAATACACAAAATATAGGTATGTGAGCATTGCCGTGATTAACCTATCGATAAGGAGCCTCTAGTTAGCCGGGTCTATGTTACTGCTTTTAAACTACAAACGTACTACTCATAATAACCAGATACTCCTTCGTAGCTAAACAGGTATAGCACGTCAGGCTATATGACAGGTATTTACCCGATACCTTCCCACAAGGTTGCCAACCAAGGCTATAGAACCCTATTTGATCCTGCTGTACAACTATTGTGTCTTAAATAGCAAAGGTCGACACACATATAAAATATAAGAAGTAGTTTATTGCAGAGAATAATATGGTCCACGTTTGAAAACACAGATTAATGTAATAAATAGTTAATCGTTATCTCCTCGGTATTTACTTGAGTCCTCATCACAAGGCGGGGTGTGGCACAAGGCCGTCTTTTACATAGGGCGTTCCGACAAAAATTGCACGTATACCCCGTATTTACGAAGCCGGATTGATAGCTATCTCCCCAGTGTGAGACTCTGCCCTTCGGCAGAGCCTCGTCTGCTTTCCTCTACGCGCCCAGGCAGAGAGTCGACAAGCAGAGTTAACAGATTATATTTATCTGAGACCTTCCCACAAGTTGGGATGTGGTACACGGCCTGTTTTTTTGGGTTTTTTTCTTTTGATTTCACGATAAATTGTAGTTGAACATACCTAGAAAAGATCCAACTCAATCTATAAGACGTTTGGCACGTGAGAGAGGAGTTTCAGCTATGACAGAGTAGTGAAAAAAGACTTTAAAATAAAATCGTACGTGAAACCTGTGAGGCACATTTTTTACTCAAGGACAGAATTTTAGAAGCCGAGAGAGCTCAATGTCTTTATTACAGAGCGTATATAATTAAATTACATATAAATGAAACTCAAAAATACTTCAT